GGCTTGGGTACCACGTGGTAGTGGTCATCAGGAAAGATTGCTGCGCCAGCTGGCTTGCCCGTGATTCGTACTCCCGGCGTAACATCTACCGATATAGGTAGAAATTTAAAATGTCCGCCGCCAACAAATTTTATATTAAATTGAGTGCACACTTTGTTCCATGCCAAAATATGTGACCTTTGTGTTTTGAATAAATGCTCTCCGTTTTTCATGACTTTCGATACAGCCCGGCACAATAGCTTAACAAATTCTCCCTTTAGATTTACCGAAATATGCTGGTCTGATTTTTTCTCGCGAATTGTTACAAAGCCAGCTGTATTAGATTTTGTGTTTTCAATAATTACGTTTTCTCGATATCTATCGATTTCGAATAGGAAGTCGTATTCGTCCGGCAGACCAGCTTTTGTGCGGTTGGCCGTGCTGCCTATCAGAATGGGCGTGCAGGAGAAGTCACTGTCTAAGACTTTCATCTCTTTGCAGACTCGCTTCATCAGGTCTAGCACGGCATCCCGCATTTGATCGCATTCCACCTGATGCTCTAATCGTCCCAAGCCTGGCGTCTCCCATATAGCCGACAGTGACGTTACACCACTGACATTACAGCGTGATATCTTACGTTTTATGTCACAATAACAATGTTCGGGCAGCTCAAAGTATTGGTGCGCCAGTATAGCGCCGGCGGATTCTCTATAGCCGTCGTTGATGGTAACCTTACGGGCGCGATCTACGGCCACCTGGTACGCTGCTTGCACTTCGTCAGGATGCGCCCGCCACATTCCTTTATGCAACAATTTCGTCACAATGCTTGCGTGACCGCCTTCGGCAGCATACGCCAACGCCGTCCTGCCAATTTTATAGCGACGCTCCACCCGCGCTCCTGCTGCTAGTAGCTGCATAACGAGCGATGTACGACCGAAACGGGCAGCACACATCAACGTCGTCATGCCAGTCACTTCCGCGTGTTCTATATTAGCGCCCGCACCTAATAACGCTGTGACCGTATCCGTATGACCGTTACCAGCTGCTACCATTACTGCGGTGAAGCCATTCACGTTCGCGTGTTCTATATTAGCGCCCGCACCTAATAACGCTGTGACCGTATCCGTATGACCGTGACCAGCTGCTACCATTACTGCGGTGAAGCCATTCACGTTCGCGTGTTCTATATTAGCGCCTGCACCTAATAACGCTGTGACCGTATCCGTATGACCGTGACCAGCTGCTACCATTACTGCTGTGAAGCCATTCACGTTCGCGTGTTCTATATTAGCGCCTGCACCTAATAACGCTGTGACCGTATCCGTATGACCGTGACCAGCTGCTACCATTACTGCTGTGAAGCCATTCACGTTCGCGTGTTCTATATTAGCGCCTGCACCTAATAACGCTGTGACCGTATC